TAGGAAAATACTCTGGATGTAACAGCACTTCCTCTGGTGAAAGAGGGTGTCCCCTTTGGAGCCTGTCAGCAGTGTTTTGTGTTAACCTAATTCCTCACAGCTAGAAGATGAGTACTCTGAATGTTTGTTCTTTTTTCTCCAGACCTGCTTGTCTAAAAATAAGGGGTTTATATTTGGATAAAAAGAACATTGAACTTCTGATCAGTTGAATGTGACCCTTTTTAATGTACACATTACTGATGAAAGTGCCTATATACTTAAGCTGATGCTTCCTTCTGATTAATTAACTTGTCGTAATTAGAACTACAGGATAGTGTAATTTCTCAGTGCAGTGTGACATGAATCTTCAGCATATTCACCTTAGCTCCTTGGTGAGGTCAGTTTATGTAAAAATGAAAGTTTTCTGTCGTATAGTTCTGGGACCCTGAACAAACATGCCTTATTCCTTCAGTGTTTTGATTTCTTTCAGTTACCTGGTTCCTTGTCTTGTACATTTTTATTCTTACAGGCAACTCATGGATTTCTTGGTTGTTTCATACAGATTGAAATAAAAAGCAGTAGAGTGTAATTGTTCTTTCCAAACCAACACTTTGCTGTCTCTGTGGAATATTTTTTAGTTCATTTGTGCCAGAGTAAATGGTAGTGTTTAGCTCTCTTTACATAGAGCTGCGTGGATGACATGCTGACGGTTATGTTAAGAGGAAGAGGAGGCTGTTTACAGGATAACAACAACAAAAACAAACATACAAACCCCCCCATCATTCAATAATCATAGAAAGCAACAGGTCATTCCTATCTAATGCATAGTTTAATAAAGGAAAAAATATTTAGTACATAGATTTTTGAGGACCTTATCTGAAATTATTAAATCTTTTTATTTAAGCTGGTACAGCTTTGTGCATGGATAAAAGGGTTAACTCTTATTCCATCCTGATCTTGACTGTACAGGTTCAATAAGAAGCCAAAGAGAGGGATTCAGTACCTGCAAGAACAAGGAATGCTTGGCACTACTCCAGAAGATATTGCTCAGTTCTTGCATCAAGAGGAAAGATTAGATTCAGTAAGAAAACTGTCCTGATAATTGTTTTTGCTGATGTAGATGTGTTTATACTAATTGCAGATGACTTGTTAGTATTTTGAAGCGTGTAACATTATTGTACAATGAAGAAAAGGAAACTTACTCTCTCTTCTAAAATTCGTAAACTTAAGGATTTTAAATTGGAGAATGCATTAGAACTGCACCCTATACTATATGTATCCTGCAGTTCAGCAAAGTGTAAAGGAGAACACTGACCTACTTGAGCTGACTCAAAACTTGTACTTGGTTACTAGTATAGCTAGAGGCAACTTAGTAAATTGTGTATCTCCCTGAAGAGTATATACTTTAGTCCAGTAAGTAACTGCCAGAAGTATCTGTCCTTCAGAGAGGGCTTTGATTTTACTTACAGCTAGCAACTGTTTCTGGACTTGGAAGGGTCCTGCAGTATCTGGCTGAAGAGGATGGGAATATCTCATGTTATTATTGTCATGAAAAACAGCTTTCTGAACCAGTAGCCTGCACCACTGTGCTTAGTAGCCACACCCATTTTGGTGCCTGTGCTTGCAACTGTGGCAAAAGTCACAAATTTCAGTATTAAAACTTAAAGTTTCATATCAAAACAAAATTTTTAACCTTAGTTTACATATGCACGTACTGGCATCTTTATCTAAATGCTTGTTATATTTTTCACTGTACTATGTTACACTGACAGTGATCAACTTGGAAGAATTTGAGTACCAGCTATTTATATTTGAGTATCACTTATATCAGTTTTAGATCTGCACTCTAGGGGATAAAGCTGAGTTTAATAAGCTTTTAATTCCTGTAGTAAGTCTTCTAACTACAAAAATCACTATAGTAGAGACAATCATTGATAATATTAACTTTGTATTGTGCACATGGAGTTCATCTAATGGAAAAATGGCATATAAGTAAAGCCAGAGAAGGAGGAATGTAAGCAGATATATATGAGCATGTAAGAGCATTATGATGGAATGTATGGCCAAAATACTTTGCTTTGGAGAGTAGAGGAGAAACAGGAGTATGTCATAGTTAACTGTACAGGCCTCTCTATTTGTGAGACATTTGACTCTGGTTTTGGTTTTGTATTTTTCCAAGTGTAAATGCATTAGTTTGTCTTTTCTGTTCTTCTTTTAGACTCAGGTTGGGGAGTTCCTGGGAGACAATGATAAATTTAACAAAGAAGTCATGTATGCCTATGTAGACCAACACGACTTTTCGGGAAAGGATTTTGTTTCAGCTCTGCGCATGTTTCTAGAAGGATTTCGTCTTCCAGGAGAAGCTCAAAAAATTGATCGCCTGATGGAGAAATTTGCTGCTAGATATTTAGAATGTAACCAAGGGTAAGATGTACTTTGTCTTCAGAACCTTGGAAAGCTTGAATAATTAGTAAAAATCCTAATAAAATTATTTGCTGTTCTTTTTCTCCTCTTTGCCTTCAGGCAAACTCTTTTTGCCAGTGCAGATACTGCATATGTTTTAGCTTACTCAATTATCATGTTGACAACAGATCTTCACAGTCCACAGGTATGTTGCTGGAATAAATATCTGTGTAATCCATAGATATGTAAATTTCAAGCTTTGTGACAATATAGTTTTAAAAGGTTGAGGTCCAATTTAACACCAATATGTGTGTAAGAAGTAAGGTAGCTTATGATTAACAGTTTTATGGAAGATGAGATTTTTAAGTTGTTTTGGTTAGGCCTTTCTGTAAGGTTGATTTCTTTTAGATAGATAGTTTGGTCTGTATGACAAGATAAAGCACTCT